GGAGTCACGCTTGCTGGTGTCTCGGCCCACAATTTTCGAAGTCACGGGAGTCACGCTTGCTGGCGTCTAGGCCAGCTCCCGGAGTCTCGAGTCACGCTGGCCGGCGTCTAGGTGAGCTCCCCGGAGTCGATTCGCGGTTGGGTTTCTCCGTAGGCTTGAAGTGCCCTGTCACGGAGTCAGAGAGCCTTGGCCAGCTCGCCGGAGTACAGGGTCTCGTTTTGGGGTTGCGTTTCGGAGTTTTGTAGTCACAAGTCACATTTCACGCTCGCGACCTCGGCCCGCCTGGCACAGCTTCCATTTTCATTTCTCTGCTGCCAGACTATGAATACGTAGGCATGTGAATCTTGCTTGCTGTCCTGGCAGGCGATATCATGTCGTCCTTCGTCAATGTGCTATGTGCGTGGCGCCCGGAAACCTTTGGACCAGCGGCCAAACCGAAGATGGCAGAAGGGAGTCGGGGATCATTGCTTGTTGGATTCGTTGATTCAGTCGCTTCTGCCCGAGCTTTCTTGAGGACAGCTATAGAACGAGCAAAGCCATGGCAGGGATTCCGGCATCGCGCAAGGTTCCGGCATCGCGCAAGGTTGGTCGAATGGTGCTGCTGGCATTGTTTTGGGTGTGTCAGCCAGAGCCTCAGACAGGCGCTGCGCGGCCGCTGACTGTCAGAGATGTTCCCGGGCTGCTTCAGGCGAGCAATGCAGACAGCGCAAGCCGCTGTTCGACCTCGGGCCGTGCCCTTTGCAAGGCGGGATGTGGCAGCATGGAGAGCCGGAAGATCATAAAGTCAAGCGAGGCCTCCTGTGAGCGTCTGGGCGCACAAGCCGCTCATTGCACGCAGAGCCGCGAGCAAGGCGGGGGGCCTAGAGCACGGAGATGCACGGAATCATGTGCCATTTCCCGAACAGCACACGCTGAGGAGCCTTTGGAGTCTGGCGAAGCAGCTGACGACGATGGAGAAAACGAGGCGAGAGTGGCTTGTTCTTCCGGCTCGATGCCCTGTTTGAGCTGTCAGGCAAGCGAGTGGGCTGCGGAGCACAATGAGGTGTGGAACTACGACGCCAACCAGGTGCCTTGTGCTGTTCTGATGTTATATCCTTCGGTCTCTGGCCTTTCTGAAGAAGTGTCTCTTGCAGGTGATCCAATGGGTCAGAAACAAAGTGGGCATCACTGATGACGAGGTCGGAGATGACGAATGTCGTGCCTGCTTGTCGCGTCTCAAAGCCTCAATGTGCCCGAGGAAATTAACAAGATGGCGGATCAAAAAATTGCGGGCAAGCACTTGCTGAAGATGAGCGCAGCAGAGCTCGACAAGAAGCTCAACCTTGAAATGGGGCCCAAGTTTGATGTGATAGCGCACATCACGAACCTGAAAGCGGCCGCTGCCGCTTGACCGCAAGTCCGTTGCTTCCGTGCCTTGCCGCAGTCGCCGCAGTCACGGGGCAAGCCGAGGCCATCGAAGAAGCCAAGAAGAAGCTCATCCAAGGCACCGGCGACGAGTCGGGGACGGCGCTGGCAGGAAAGATGCTGTCGACTCTGGTCGAGCTGGAGGTCACAGCCACAGGCCTCCCGAAGGCAGATGCTCGCCCGCATTGTCTTATGGGGGACTTTCTTTTGGCGGAGTTTTCACGCGCCACGGAGGGGTTCAGACTCAGAATGCCGAGGCCATCGACGTGATCAAAGACCAACTGAA